CTTCCTCTTCGTCCTCTTCCTCGTCGGCCTCCTCCTCATTTCACTGCTGAAGCTTGCGTCACTGCCCCACTCAAACTGCCAATCCACGTCCGAGAGCAAACACCCTCCACCTCTTCCTCGCCTCCCCACTCTTCCCCTCTTGTTCCCACAGACAGATTACGTACTTGATTGTCCTCACAACGCTCCTACAACTGCCGCAAGGATGCAGATGACCAACCGCGGCCCACGTCTGCAGCACATCCCATACTCTTACTCTCTCTCTCTCAGCACTTCAGCCCTTCCCTCGTCTCTCTCATGTACCACCGCTTGCACATAATGCCAAACTCGCTTCCTACGCAGAAACGACAAACATCGATTCTCCCTTCGTCGTTCGAGTCGTCGTCTCCGGTTTCCCCGCTGCTCTCTCTGTTGCTCATTGTATTCCTTCCTGCGGCGAAGTCGAGACCCTCAGCTCACTATTTGCGCTTTGGACACCTAACGCTGCACAGGCAGGCCTGGTACTGTGGACTCTACTTCGTCGAGTACTCTCCTTCTCAATCACCTTGAGTTTGATGGATGGACCGAACTGTCCGAAGAGCAGCAATTGCAGTTCCTCCAAGGACTGAAGGACCATCTGCTTCTCCTCCTTCGTCCTCTCTCTCTCTCTCTCTCTCTCTCTCTCTCTCTCTCTCTCTCTCTCTCTCTCTCTCTCTCCCCTCCTCCCGGACAGAACCAATGTCCCTTCAGATACAGTGCCCTCTCTGCTATCTCTGCTGCGTCCCGATTCCATTCACCACGCTGCGTCCCGACCAACCTCGATCTCAGGCAATTCATCCACCAGGCACGACATGGCGCGCAGCGCACACTGACCAATTTCTATATCACCACAATTAGCAAACAACAGACCAGGACTAATCAAGCATCTTAGGCGGAACAAGAGCTGTCACCCATCCAACACTCGGAGTGCGACAGGAGAAAGCTTTAGGATGGCAATTCCACTCCCTCGGTGGTACCGACTCTCAGAGGGTCGGGGTCTCATCGTGCATCCTCCGTGCCGCTAAGGTCTCTACTTCGGCGTGAAAATGGAACTGACTGCCCAACTGGCAGAGAGCCATGCGAGCTTTCCAGTACAGCAAATGTCATCCGTACCCTCGATCCGCAATTGCTCTTCTCCACGCTTGGCCCCGGCGACTGCCACTGTGCGAGCTCCATATAGCAGCCACGCGGCACGTCCTCCCTATGTCCTCCTCCTCTTCCTCCTCCTCGTCGGTCGGCCTCGCCTATCCTCCTGCTTCGTTGCCTCCTTGCCCTGCTCTCAGAAGAGCCAAGCCGCTTTGAGTTGGCCTGCCCCTTTGCCTTCACTTGGCGCGTCCCCGCTTCTGCGGCCCCGCTTGCGCGCTTCCCACTCTGCTGCCCCGCTCTCACATCACACCCTCACTACCACTCTTCGGCCTCGCCTACTGTGTTACTAACGGCTGTTAACTCTCTCCCAAACAACCCACCCCCGCCCCCGCCCCCGCACCCCCCGGCCAAAATCTGCCCTTGCCCGGGCACACAGCTCGGCTGACGCCCTGCGCTCCAAACACACTCATTCCCTCCTTTCCGCACACATTCCCCTTTCCGCACACATTCCCTCCTTTCCGCCCTCCCTCCTACGCCAATAAACGGACTTCCAAACAGATACCGCGCTCACCGTCAGCGCGTCCGGCTATCGTCTCTACCTCCGGTAGGCATGCGAGAACTACAGCGGCCTCAACTTTGAGTTCGCTGAGTGCGTCGTTTCGCCGGCCTTGATCCCGTGTCTACAAATCAAGACAGAGAAAGCCCCCGAAACTCTTCTTTCTGAGTCAAGAATTTAAATTAACAAAAAAAAAACTCATTCCCCACTTGAGCCTGCTCTCTCTCTCTCTCTCTCTCTCTCTCTCTCTCTCTCTCTCTCTGTGCGTGTGTGTGTGTGTGCGAGTGTGTGTGATCCCTTGTCTCGGCTGTCTACCAAGGCTTGGATGATCGAAGAAAGAATGAATGAATGAATGAATGAATGAAGGGGTGGATGGATGCATGGATGTGGGCAGAACATGCCGCTCTCGACTCTCATTGCTCCAATTTACTTCAGGGCCGTTACACCGAACTCCCACCGCACGGCAGTCTGCTCTTCTCTCTGAGTTGCGAGTGCTGTGCATCGACACAGCCAGGATTCTACCTACGTAGCGACTGTCGGCTGCCCGAGCCGTGTGTCAGCGAGGTGCTCGTCCTACGGTAGCCTCCGGTCCTGGGGCACTCTTACCAGCGCCTCCCCCCACATAGGTATAGGTAGAGGAGGCTTCGTTGTGCCGACAAGTACAAGCTTTGCCCGACGCGGACCGAGTCCATCCTGTTTGGAACCGTGCTGTTTCCAGTCTTCCAGACCAAGTTGCCCGCAACCCGCATGTGTAACCGGCCCAGATGGAGTACGGTAGACCCGGGGGGAGGTCCCCCTCGCCCGGATCCTGTGTTTCGGGCCGTAGATAGATAAAAGAACCGACGGCAACCGCAGAACATGAAGATCAACGGCAAGAAAAGGGAAAAAAGATATAGGCGAGTCGGCCCCGCAGTTGCCCACCAGAATTTCCCCTCACCGAGTTTTTTGAGTTCGGAAACGACACGGGAACCGCGCCGGTCCCAAATCATCAGCACCAGCGTGGGTTCCCGCAGTAGGGCATAGGAGTTAGGAGGAGGTGGTCTCGCTGAGGTGAATGACTGTGACCATCGGATTTCCTAACAAAAACCTACACTACATAGAGCCCAGGACATGCCCCGTAGGGTCCGGGCTGACTGATGCAACGTCCGTGCTATAACACGTCCATTTTTTGAGGACCAGGTTGGTGCTTCCTTAGCACAAGCTTAGCACCAGTGGGCCTGGTGGTTATTGGAACTGAAGTAGAGCTGGCCTGATCCTGATAGCTGAACTGCACTGGTCACTGGGGCAGAGCTAAGCCTACTTTCTTAGCCAGGACAGGATCACTGGGAACACAAGCAACCTCAGCAGATATGTCCCTGCATCTGAACAACAGTGGACTGTGGCAGAGCTATGGTGAACCACTTTGGGCCCAAATGAACTGCTCAGTCCACTGGAGCTTTGGCAAACTGCCAGTGGTGCACTCGTTTTCTTTTTTGGGTGGTGCCACCCAAGCCTCCGAGATTTTATAGGGTATGAAGAAAAATCTTGCAAGGCTGGGGGCTCTACCCTCTTCCCCCGAACATAACGCACCCTAAAAATGAATGTATACAAGCTATATTTCCGGCCAGATACAGCCAAAATAAGGGTGCGTTGTCATCGGGGGAGGACGGTAGGGCCATGTACTGCCGGTTTGAGCTTTGGCAAAAGGTAGGGGCGTCTTTAGACACTCCTTGGGGATCCGAAATCCACAAGGACGTGCTCATTCCACCTATCCTCAGGGACGATTTGCGAAAAAAAAATGTGAAAACAGCACAAGGAAATTTCCTTGTGGCGTCGTTGTGGCTCCAGCCAATTTCTCCTAATCCCCAAGGGACCTCCCGAGGTCCCTCAGAGCACAAGGAAGCGCGATATTTGGAGCGGTGAAGGCATGCGTCGACGCAAAGTTTCGGTTTGAGGGTGGTCCAAAAGTGGTCCGCCCAACGGGAGCACGGACATCCCTGCCCTCCACCGTCGTGGCGGCACGCCAACGACTACAAACGGTCACCGTCCACGTAAGGCCTCCGTTCGACGAATCGGTCATCACCAGCCGATGTCATGCGGTCTGCTGCACTAGGAGATCATCAACAACGGTCGAAAATTCAAATGTTTTTCCGCGCTGTTGCGCGCATCGGTCCGACACCGCACAAGGCAGCGCGGGACCCTCCCGGCCGCGTCACGCAGGAGTTGACATTTAATCCTCGTCGCGATACATACATGGAGCTTCCGCAAGCCGCTCCGACCGAGTGCGCCAGCCATACCTCTCGCGAACCCCTACGACAGGATAGGGTCTATGCGAGGCACGGCTTACCTCCACCTTACGGGAGTTATCACCTCCCTTCGGTGGGCGTATCCCCGCCGAGCTACCAGTCCACAGTACGAAAGCTAATCAGTTGCAATCGCAGAGGTGGACCAGTCGAGGGCGTTCGCAATGATGGCATACTATGTAGTACCCATACTCATGCGGTCCTCGTTAGTCTCGAGGGTCGCATTCGACACTCAAGTGTTGGCTGACATGCGCCTTGAGGGTTAATCTCTCGACGTTGGACAACCGCCAAGTGCGATCGAGAACCACACCCTCTTCTGCACCCTGCGGAGAGTGGGTGGTACACAGGTTTGTACCTGTGGTGGCAATCGTCTCTTATTGCCCTGGAGACCAGCTCCATCATCTAGGGTCTAGGGAAAAGTCAAGGGGTTTGACTTTGACGGCTGCCACGGATTACAACGTCCAACTATAAATTTCAAAAAGCAAAAGGATAAGAGGGGATCTCCCTTTTCTCTCAAAAACATAATCTGTTTAACCCTTACGTGCGGTAATTGTAGGCCGCACGAAACACTCGAGGCATATATATTTACATATATAGAGGGTTATTAATATAGGACGATCACTTCTCACAGTCACAGTGGGCCTCCTCTCGGCCATATATGATTTATGCTTAGTTAATTAGGATGATTTGAGTGAGATCGTGATATGGGGATT